AGAGAAGTGTCTGGGTATTTGTTGCCCTAAGGGGGGGGTTGGCCTTTCCCTTTCAGGAATGTGTCCATTGGCTGTTCCCTGGCAGTGTCCTTTTGTTTGGAACTGGAGTCAAGTTGACCACCTGATCTTGTCACTGAAGTAGCTGGAGTCTGTTTCCCTTCACAACCTACTGTTCTTAGCAATGCAGAATAATTTCCATAGGAAGGGACCTTAATTAGCATGCTACCTAATGGTTGCTGAGCACTAAAGAATACTCCGGAGGAAAATATGATCTAATGTTGCCTTAGTGGGAATTTGCTATTATGGTGGTGTTTTGTTCTCTAAAATAAACCCTTTTTGTTCTTGAAGCAGCAAATTTGTGTTTGTTGTTGGTTATGGTGTTTGTTTGCATTGATACATGGGCTTAAAGAGATTCCTATGACATCCTCCATCTGAACTTCAAGAATCTTTTTGTCAGAGTGTATTTTGAAGGTTGAAATGTAATGGTTATTTGTGGCCATGCTCTCACTCATTGGAGTTACGTTAATGGATGGTAAGTTGAGCGCGTACCTCGTGTCGGCAGTGAACGCCCCTGGCTCTCGTGCTCGTATTTGCAGTAATAGGTCTTGTCTCTGTTCTCCGCCGGTACCGTTAACCAGCTGCCGATGGAGTATTCATCCTCTGCTGTGGGCTTCCAAGTGTTTCCTTTGACTACGTTGTCTGTTACCTCTTGTTCTCCATCGGTCCATGTCACCCGAATAACTTCTGGGTAGAATTTCTCAATAAGGCAAACGTATATTATCTGATCTTCATGTGTCTTCTGCAGGATTTCGTAGTTTGCTGGTGGAGAATTTCCTTTGTCTGGATTGGTTATTAAAGGAGAAAAATAACAGAAGAGAGAGTTGGAAGGTCAATAGTGTACAGCCAATAAATACACAGGCACAAAATACAAATTCTGAAGAGCAACAACCTAAGTGTCTTATTAACAAATACTTCATCTCTCTATAGGTGTTTCGACAAGCTAACTGTGTGTAATCCCCATTTCATTTGCCTATCTGGATAGGGAGAGAATACATTAATATAAAGATGTATTTTTGTCAAAAATCTTCCACCTTTCTTTAAATGATCTGGCTATTCTAGAGCAATCTTCAACACTGCATCCCCCTTAAAACACCTCAGTGATTCTTGGAAGTATTATTTCATATTTGGTGTTTAACAACAAAGATGACCATGACATAAGGCTGCCTGCCTTCAAAAAGATAACCCTTATATTATCAATTATCTTCATTTTGGAGATTTTTCATTGAAATGAATGCGTGGACTGAATTCTGTTGTACCAGAAATAAAATTGCTAACAATGTGATGGTTCTCTGACATAAATTTAGGGGTTAATTTAGGGGTAACATTCATGCTGAAACGTGTTTGTGAACATTGCCTTAAAAGAATCAGATACTGAATTCATTTTTGTGCCCATGAAATCCATGACAGTTTTGTTAAAGCCATTAACAAATATACCTATTAATGTTACTCATGGTAAGAGGCTTTCACTCCACAGATTTCTTTTGAGCAGCCACATGTACCCTTATTTATGTCCTACAGCTCCATCCTGCTGCCTAACACTTGTTTAGATTTTCAAATCTAATGGGATTTAATTCAGGGCTTCTAATTTTTCCATGTTAAAAAAATAATAATGCAAACTAATGCATCCAGTAATCTTGACCATTTTAATTTTAAAAGTCAGAAAATTAGTTTAATCCAACTTCAGGCAAAGTATAAATAAAATGTAAGTATAATGTATCTTTATGCAACATGTAATATATTATACATATTTACTAAAAATACTTGGAGCTTTTTGAACTACTGAACTTTTTGAAAAGCATGGGAGATACCTGATTTGCACAGGTAAGGATTTGCACTACACTCAACACGGTCGTCCTGTCACACATATCGTATTTCTATTGAATTCTAGTTATGATTTAGTCTTGGCTTCCCTGTTGTGACCTTGTGAGTGCCCAAATTCCCTGGAAAGACACGTACAGAAGAATCCTGTATTGCCAGTTATTGTGGATTACTATTCCCATTCTATTGTAAGCTTCTAAAACCTCATGAATCTCAGTAAATGCAAATGCCAAACCATCCTCTCAAATCCCAGCCCTTCTGTTACCTCCCTTATTGTGAGTCTCGAGCAACTTTCTTTTGATCAGACCTTGTTAAAAGGGACCAACAGGAACAAAGTCAAGTTCATTACAGGTCAATGGGAGTTTGGCTCTTTATGTATGTTAAAAACAAAAGATTCTGCTGAAGCTCAAACCCTGATGATTCAATGGAATTAATGTTAGTGTGAAATAATGGAGTTATCCCAAGTCATGGTTTTCTCCATTTCTTTTCCCTTAGGAGTAACTTGCTGATCTAATGTTGGATAGTCACCTCTGAAAAGACAAGCTGTGATGAAATGCCTGATCTTAAGCAAGAGGTAAATACAGCCCTTTTATTCTATTAATTGGTCAGAAGCCTTGGCCTGGTGCTGACTGAGGCTCTAAGCGGGCTGAGTGACCTCTGGGACTCTATGACCCTCATCTATATTTTTGACCCCAAGCTCTTATTGGTAATTGTATGGAAAATAGGATGTAACTTACCTGACACAATGAGTTTTGAACTGGAGCCAAACACCTTTGTGGAATAGGGAGGTCACAGTGAATGGAGTCTTTGCAATAACAGTGCAGCCTAGTTATCTTTATATGGGTAAATAACATTTTTTAAAGAAAATAAGATTTGCTGAATAACCAGTTTTTAGACCCTAGAAAATCAAAAAAGGAGCAGTTGCCTAAAGAAAAATTGTGAAATGGGCAGGATTAATTTCAACTCGTTTTAGTCTTCTGAATGTTTAGACAAACAGTGTAGACTGAACACCTTGGCTCTGGCTCTGCTTTCCATACAAAGGCACCACCAGAAGAAGATCTATTTGCTCAGATATTGGCCAAGTAATTTGCTCCTTATGCAGCCCATATAATGGACCTGTAATTGGTGAATATTACACTGAGATCTCAGGTGCTTAGTTGAGCCAAATCACAGGCAAGTATTAAAGCACCAGAAGTTTATGTGAATTAAATAATTTTGATAAGTATGTCAAAACAGTATGAGTTTGACATTCTTCCTTAAGAATAGTGAAACTGATGATAAGCGATTTCTGCAAAAGCTGGGAAGAGAAAGTGGCCTTTCAGCTGTTTGTATCTTCAGACAGTTCTGGCATATCTCAGATAACTCCATCCATTTGCTATAGTCAGATGTAATCCTAAAGGGAAATGTTCTGCTTTTCAAAGAATTTGGGTAAGCCAAATGTTTGACACTTTTCCTTCAGAATGAGTTAGACTTATCGCAAAGGTTGAATATGCATATTCAAAAACAAACCCATCTTTCAGTTCTCCAAATGCTATCTTTGCCATGCTTAAATTAGTCTTCAAAATTAAAATAACAATGGAGTTAGTTATACATCTGTGCTGCAATAGCAGTTTCCCCATTTCATACATAAATAGAAAGCAATTACATTGTGTTCTGCACATGGAAAGGCTGTTTAAGAGGAAAACCTGACAAAGCATTCAGTAGAGTTAAAACTAGCAGGAGGTAAAGTAGCAGAGCACTTCACGTAGCCAGTATCTAACTGTACTGCAAAGCATTTCAGAAGTAGTTAAGTTTTACATTTCGTACTTACTTGAAACAATAAGTTTAGTTCCAGTTCCAAATATTTTGACATCGGCGTTCCACAGTCTGATAATGCTTAGCAATATCTCCTGCACTTTTCTTGCATGGGCTACAGAAAATGTGTGTCTGATTTGGAGGCTGGTGATAAATCTGACCCAGTGCAATAGCTGAATTTTCAACGTTGACTAAAATGCCATTTTTAGAAAGACTTTGATTTTTGTAGTGAGTAAAAAGTTCCCATTTTTAAACACAGAGTTTTCTGAGAGGAAAGCAGTGCCGTGCTTCTCTTCTAACTGTGTTCTAATCCTTTTAGCTCTGGGATTTCCCTAACAAAGATCTGTTGCCTCTGATCAGGTTCAGGTTTTCTCTGAAGTAACCCCTTTTTGCTGTTTTAAGAAGAAATGTGGTTACATTATGATTCCTAAAGGAGTTTAAGAAAGTTTACTAGTTGTTTATTTAAATATTCAGGTAAACAAGGTTTTTATTGTGTGAAAATACCTCAATCAAAATTTCATCGAACTCATATTTTGAAGCCCATATTTTAAATTCAAAGTCCATGTTCTAAACAAAACTTACTGACAGCCATAACTACGTTCATGCCTTTGGGAAGTGGTGATGCTGTTGTATATTTGGCAAAAGCAGCTGCCTCTACACAGGGACAATTTAATTGCAAATTGCATCAGGCAACAATCTTGGTCAGAGGCATGGATTTTAAATTTCTCTGGAACTCTCTTCTGTTTTTTATGAATTGACTGAATTATAGTCACCTTGGCAGTATGTGTTTTCTGAGCACCATACTGTAGGCATTGCTATATGCTTTATACTGAAGACAGCATTTATCCTGTAATTTGCAAAGCTTCACCACAATTAAGAATAATAGACATGCAAAAGTAAATCAGTTCCATTCAGTAGGGCCAGGAACTAGATATTTATTACATTCCAGGCAATTTTCCTTCCCAATCAACTGAAACTGAACCACCTCTATCAATAAGAAACTTTTCCACTTCTTAATTGCTGTTATAACCGAGACTAAACTTTCAAGCAGTTCACTTTTCTTTCCCAGAACAGGAATAAATCCATCCCAAATGAGATCAATAATAATGGTACTTACTAGAGACAACTAGCTTGGTTCCTGTGCCAAAGTGTTTGATCCAAGTTTCCCACACTGTGTTTTGACTTTGCAATAAGCTCATGTGCTCTCTTGCTGTGCCATTGTTGAAGAAAATCTCATTTTTATTTTTATTTTTTTCCCAATGAGCCTTGAGAAGCTCAGTGGAGGCCTGGCCCTTTGCTGCTGGAGGATGTCAGGAATTTCAGACTTGTACCTGGTTGTTCAGCTGATATCCAATGTCCTCCAGAGCAAATCTGTTTCTTAAAGGGCTGTAAATTTGTTAGATAAACCTTCCACTTTACACCAAAGAATGAGGTGAAAGTGTCTCTTCAATTTTAGACACACAAATAGGTGCACAGGGTTGTGCATGTTAAAAACCACATACCTTCTAGTGATGATCCTGCTCTTTCCCAAAGGTGTACACCCTTTCTCACCTGCAATTGAGTGACATCAAGGACGACTAGCATGTAGTTCATTTTCAGTTGTCTCAATACAATTCAGCAGAGGGAGAGGAGGGAGAGCCAGTACCATAAGCATCGCGAAGGTGTCCGTGTGCTGTAGGTTGCATTTCCTTCCCCAAGTATGTGGTTATTGTCTTCCCATCTCCTTGGAATTGCTCCAGGCTCTGCAACAGCAGCTCACCAGCATTATTTCATACGGTAACTGGTGGAAGGAGGAGGCTTTTCCTTTGCACGTGGGTTTCTTCCAAAACAGCCCAAGATAACATCAGAGGAGTCACCACTGCTGTCAATCAAACAGCCTCTATGCTTAGTTTGTCATTTAACAGAAAGGGAGTTTGAGTGCTTCTAGGATCTCGTGTGGCATCCTGACTGCAAAACAACATTAAGAAATTACGATTTGTGGCTAGAGGGAGGAACTAAACTGAGGGTGAAGGTCTTTCAAGTGAAGTAGGTGTAACAAAAGCAGTTGTCTACCCTGAAAGCTCCTGGGCAGGAACCTCGGAATTGGAACAACAAAGTCAAGTCAGGAGCAGTGTAGACACAGAAGGGTGCCAACCAGTGCTTTTCTTGCTTATGCACACAGCAAAGGAGCCCACCAACATCTCGCCTGCATTATGGCCATGAGAGTGAGTACCTGGGAGGTCTCATTAGAAGAAACAAAGTGAAACACTGCATATTGCAGACAGCTTGTCTAACTGCCCTGTATGATCTGAGCTTGCAAGATTGATGAGGACAGAACTGTCCTGTAGCCATTTGGAGATGTAATGCCTATGCAAAATTGTTGTGTTACTTTTTCATCCCATAAGACTAATAAGCCTTCTTTAAGGAGTTACAGTTCAGTGAACCAAGTGAGGAGGTACCACAGTAAAGGAAAATATTAAGGACAGGCTTGATGGTAGAGAAAAACTTCTGTGGGTTAATTTCTCAGGCATGAGGGTCAGCACGTGCTTTGAGGCAGTAGCTTGGAGGGATGCATTGTGTTTGAGACATAAATATGAAAAGTGGTTCTTAACAATGGAAAGCTCTTTTCTTTGGCACTAGCTTTGGTACCCTGTGCCCAACGTTTTGAGGTGATTCAGATGCATCACTACTAGGAGGAACACCAGTGAAACAGACAGTGATAAGCAAGACGGGGAAAGGGACTGGTACAGCTCAAAAACAAAACCAAACCCAGAGCACAGTTTGCCACTCCCAGATCACAGGAAGAATAAATAGAAAATCTTCTTCCTCTGACAGCTGATAACTTTTCAGGGAAAACTTCTTTTCCTTTGCTTAAAATTTTC